CTAAGATAATAATTAATAAATAATAAATAATAAATAATAAAATAATAAACTAATAATTAATTCGTTCTATAACAATATATTAGATATGGATTAGTTAGATTAAATTTATTACTGTAAATACAATTTGTATAGGTCTTGTGCCTATTATACCTAAAATGTCAATAAACTCTAGTCTTCAGACACTTAATAAAAAAAAAAAAATTCTGATTATAAAATTTAAAATGCTTTTTTGTAACAATAAAATAATTTACAATATGTATAATTGAGTTTAATTTACTATAAATAGTAATTAATTGTTTTAAGCAAATTAATTAATTCACATATTTTATTTTTTTATTTTTTTTTTTTAAGTGTTCCTGCTTCTATTTATTTTATGAACTACTATAAGATTATTATAATTATACAAATAACAACCAAAATAGTGTGGTGTTCTATTCTAATAGAAACTCACCAAGTGTATAGAGTACTGCCCAATGTGATCTGCTATAACAACTATTTGTCTCACAAAGGAATCCAAAACTCACTTCAGATTTCATATCACTAAGGATACCCTCCTCGATCATTTGACAGGTTGTTGTATACTGTGTTAGAATCTTCTGTCCTTTCTTTAAAACTTTTCCCATCTAGGTCCAGGCAGAATAATTATTTTCTACTTTTTTACAAGCTAAGAACATATATGCCATATTTACAAAGAAAAACTATATCTAGAAGAAGAAATGATAAAAAATAGAATACACATAGAATATATTCTAAATAAGATTCTATCATAAATAAACAAAGATGAAAAAAGTATAAAAAAAGATCAAGAAACCCCGACACACACTATTATAACCTGTGCCATGTTTGTGAAAAATTATATAACAAATACAACATCTGCTATCTCTGCTATAAAGCTAAGCTTTAACCTTAATTTTATCTCACCATATATAATTAGAAATTTTTAGTCTTCGCAGCTTCGGGTCCCATCTCTAAAGTGGTTGCCGCTGCCATTATGCATCTTCAAAACTCTCACGAGAGATTCCAGAAGTAGTCTGGTTTGAAATAGTAGCACTATTCCTATATTTGGCCTAAGTACATAGTTGTACTTCACTGCATTATCCAAATTTGGTCACTGTAAACAATGTCGATCCTTTGTCAGAGGTAAGCTGTTTTGCCTACTTTTTCCAAAATTTTTTGTTGCTATAACAAGTAGGTGGTATTTGAGAGTTTTTGTCATCATACTTAGTCTTTTTAGTACAAAGGAGTGAAGGTTACCAAAGTCAGTATACCAATACATTCACCCAGAGAGAACTCTTCTTTTTGGTAAGTGATAAACTCTAAAACTGTTAGCAAGTAGTGTATGAGAACTACTTTTAAACAACAGTTGCCGTCCCTGCAGTGAGTGATAAACTCTGAGCTTACTGGCAAGTAGCATATGAGAACTACCTTTAAACAATAGATACTGGCTTATAGTTTCGTTCGTTTAACCAGATATATTGTATAGGATTTCTTGTTTTTTGAGTTAGATTTTTCTCAAAAATTTCGGTACGAGGGATTGTTGATAAATTCACATATTTAAATATAGTAAATAAAGTTTAAAAGTATAATAGTTTGATAGGGAAGACAACTCTTCCCAATGATTACTTGTACCTAAAATTTAGCAAACGGAAAATAGAACTTTTGTTGGAGAGACATGGCCTTCTTGCGGTTTGTCTAGAGGTTAACTGCTTTTCTAAGAGACTCCTCTATAGTAGACATTTGGCATACAAGCCAGGAGCATTATTATACAAGATAACTAGCAGGTAGTGCCATTGTATAAAAAATCTTGGTAAAGTATAGTGGTGAACTTACTCATTTTCATTAATGAAGTAAGTTGGCTATTACTTCAAAGAAGAACACAGGAGAAACAACAAAGTTCTAGTGGCCTAATACACACTTTAGAAATTTTAGAAGTACCCACAACTATATATTTACAAACATATTCTTGCAGTTTTGGAATTTTTTTAGAAATTTTGGCTAAAAAGTGGGAAAATTGGCGTACTTCCTCCAAAAGATCGGCAGTGTTTACTCTTTCCAAATTAGGACATGTCTACCAAAATGGAACCTCTTACAAGCTTATTTGTATTCTGCTTTGCCAAATAAACAATGATAGCGGTACTGTTTACAGTATAGAAGATCAGAGAAATTATATGTAAAAATTTTTTAATATTAGACGTTTTTTTCTTTCTACTTTTTTTTATTATATATAGTGTTAGATTAGATTTTTTTCTATACAACATTATATAATTTTTATAGCCTAACACAGGCAATAATAGTGTCATCATAGTCGTCTTTTTTTCAGCCTTTTTCTTCTTGTTTTCTTTTTTATTTTGTTTGTTTTTTTTAGTTTCATTTAGTTTAGACCTTCACCCTTTTTTTAGTTTTTTTTTATTTCATATTTATTTTTTTATTGGTAGTTCTTCTACCTAGAAGGCTAGGAGAAGAAGGTTCAGAAAGAAGGCAGTTATGATGAGCTGGTGAACCAGGTTAGTGATCTGGGGATAAGTTAGTTGAAGTGAAGTAAGCTGAACCTAACTGGAGAAATTGAACTCATCTTTGGCAAGTTATATATAGGTCCAATTGGAAACTGGGTGAGCCACATTCCAGATTTTTTGCTATAAGGCATGATGTAATTCAGACAAATCCTTTGGAAAATGTAGTACCTCATCAATAAAGCAGGTATGTGACATTAGGGTGGTCATCAAACTAATCAAATCAAACAATAAATAGCTATTATGTAACTAATTATTTTTTATGAAGATCCGAATTTACTGCGAGTAATAACAACTTTCAGTACAGTTTTCTTTTGAACTAACATAATAATCGCAAGTTTAATTTATTGCAAACCACATTTTAACTTGCTTAGAATATTATAACAATGGTATTTTTTCGATTTATTCCATTTACAAGTAGCCAATTCTTCAACAAAGTAAACAAGCTTTACTCAAAATATGACAACAATAAGTTTATTAAAATTAAAAAAACCAAGGTTGTTATGAAAAAGAGAAGAACAAGAGCTACAAAATAAAAAAAAATTGATACAAAAATTCTTTGTAGTTAATTTGAAAATCGTATTTTTGTAAGTCATATTAAAAATATATTGCTTTTTTTGGTCTAAAACATGGCACGAACTAAAACAACATTTCAATGATAGCAACAACTAAAAAAGGCATGTGATCAATAACAATTTTCAAAAAAAAGATTGCCAAAACAAGTAATGAAGCTATAACAATAGCTATAATGATAATGATGGCTATAATAATAGCTATCATTATAACAATGGCTATGCCCAGTGATGTATATTGGATAAAATTGGATGCTTGGACACCTTTAGATTGGACATCCAATTCAACGTCCAATTATACTTTATTAGATATGATATTTGGATAGCAAAAGTCCTTTTTTGATACACTATATATATAAATATTGAAAAAATAAAAATACCTAATTTGCCACATCTATAAAGCAACAATAATACTAAAAGCACTTTAAGATTTCTATTTTGATTTACTATATAATGCATTCGTTATATCATTAACTTAAGATCACGAATGTAATGTAAAAACAATGTTTGTTTTTTTATTTATTTAAAGTAATTTATAAATATGTAAATAAGTTTTAAGAAAATTCAAACACTAATGCATAATCAGGGCCAATGATTTCTAAAAATAAATAATATCACTGCAAAAAATTATCGGTCCTGCATATGATTCTAATTAAAATATCAAATTATGTGTATTTAATCTTTATTATAAATTTGATAAAAAATTTGGTGACTTCAAAATATTAAAAAGACCATATAATTTCCATTTAGCAGCATTATTTATAGCAGGATGATCAATATTATCTATATCTAAATCAAATTATAAACTTTTTTATTCTCCTGTACTTGCTTTTCATCAATCATTTTATTCCACTTGTCAACTTGTCTTTGCCAATTATCTTTATTTTGAAAACTATCTTCATCTAATAAATCCATAAACTCATCTTCATTAACATTTAGTAAAGTTGATTCTTGATTATCATTATAAATTGGTAAAGCAGCATTTTGCCCCAGGAACATACCTTTTTTAATTTGTATTATCCGTTCTTCATATAACAAAGATGTACAAATACGACTCATTTGAAAAACTTTTCAGGCTAGAGAATTAATATAAATTAGTTTTTTTTTTTTTAAAAAAAAAAAAAAAAATTAATCTTTAAGCGATTTCTTTGATTAGAGTGTAAAAATCCCATAGAAGAGAACAATCGTTCTACAGATGCTGAATTCATGCAAATACTGTAAATACGACATGCAACTTTACCAAGTTTTTTAACTTTGGTAGCTACAAGACTTCAAAATTCTATAATGTTGTCAAATTGAAATACTTGAAAATCTTCAAATAGAGGTTGCTTTCGATGATATTGTTCTAGTTCCTGTAAAAGTTTTTTGGGGTCTTCGCCATACTATGCTTTGTAATAATAGCATGCCCACATTCCAAGATCTGTATATGAAATATTACTAATATTTTGATTAAATTTTGTATCACAATAGAAAGAGTGTAAAAGAAATGAAAGAAGAAGAATTGGCTATTCCCAACTAAGCCACCGGGTTTCAAGTTGTTCAATTATTTTTTCTGCAAGTTCAACATCTTCATAATTTTTTCAAAATTGAATAAAAAACCCAAAACAATAAAGAACTGTGTATGATCACACTGTAGTTTATTAAAACAAGAACAAAATGGTAAAAGAAGGTTTTCAAGTTTTTAAATATTATTTCATCATTCTTCACTGTTTACAATTAAAGCAATTCGAGTAGGAAAAATAAGCTCTTGACAGGAATTAGATGCACTTGCTTCATACTTTGCAACTAAAGTCTTTATCTTTAAAAAAAATAAATAAATAAAATAAATAAATAAATAAATAAAAAAATTAAAATTAATTTAATAATTCAAATAGTTTATCTTTAATGCAGTTTTACTTTTAACCAAAGAATGATAGAAATAGTAATAGCTATTCTATCTTGTCTCACCAGGAACAGCAAGACTAATGTAATATTTATAAATTAACTTTTGTTCATCACGAAGTTTTCCAATCCAGTATGTATAGTTCTTATTATTAAAAAAAGCAGTTACAATAATAGCATCTTTGCAGGCTTTATTAAAAGTTGAAAACTCTTTATAAATATCTTCAACACAAAGATTAACCTGGTGTGCGAAGCAGGGCAAAAAAACTTTATCAATATGGATTAATCTAAGACGACGACTAAATTATATATAGCATAAATAATAAAAATAATTAGATTAGTAATTAGTTTAATAATCGATAATAAAATAACTTGCTAACATACTATAAAGCAGTATAAGCTGCAGTACTGTCAGTTACCAATGCAACAACTTCAATTTGTTCTTTTTTAATGTCATTAAAAATTTTTTCAGTATATTCCATCACTTCTTTCATTCTTTCACGATGGCCACTAATGTTTACTACATCCCAAATCAATGGTTCACCATTATTTGTAACCAATACACTTCTAATAAGATATTGATTTACAATATTAGTTCACCTATCAAAGGCAACAGTCACTCCATATTTACTCATTTTGGCTTGGTTTACTACATATGAAGCAATATTATCTGAAACTGTATTTAAAGTACTTCCAGTAAAAGTATGATGGTTAGATAAATGAAGATTTGAATTAAGATAAGTATAAGCTTCTCTTGATTGTTTTTTGTTTACTTATTGAAATACCCACCTATTTGCAATAGTCATTAATAATAAATAGTTATTAAATTTTAATCTTTTAGCTTTACTTAATGGTTTGGCCAAGTAAGTATCAACTTTATTATATTCTAATTTTCATTTTTTTGTTTTTAATAAATCGATAGTTCTTGTATTTTTTGTAATGGATGATTGTATATCATCTTCTAAAATTAAATAGAATATATTTAATTATAATACTGTATAATAAAAAAAAAAAAAAAAAGAAAGCTTACGATTGTCACTAAAATTACTACCACTTGGTTCAGTATTGTGTTTAGAATTATTTTGCTGATTATTTGGTGGTCCCAGAGGATCTTCTTCACCATTTAAAATTTTATTCACTCGTTCCTCTCCATATGCTTTTCAAAAATATTGACAAGTTTGAAGATGACTTATTACTCACTCTTTTTTATTTAAAAATTTATTTTGCAATGCATCTGTAAAACAGATAGCCTCCATTTCCAATTTACAAATACAATATTTATTGCTTTTGTTCACTTTTTTATTAAGTTGAAATATAAACTAAGTAAAAGAATGTCTGCCTTTTTTTCCTGACAAACTCATTTTAAACTATAGTAAAAAGAAAAAATGTATAAAAAAAAAATTATTATTTCAAAGCCGACAAAGCCAGCTCTTCTTGACAAATCTTGGTGAATTATTAAACTTTGTTTGATTACAAAAAAAAAACTTTGCTTGATTGTGAAAAAAAAAAGAAAAAAAAGCTTAATTGCAAAAAAAAAAAAATTCAAATTCCACCTATTACTTGAATAATTGCTCTAAAGACAAATTGATTATTTATTATGTATATATCTATTAATTTTTATCGAATGTAATACAACCATTGCCCAATTATATGCACAAAGGTCACATTAATTTGTATTATATCCAATGTTCAATTAGACGTTGAACCTATAGTAAAGTCCAAATTCAAATATTTAACATCCAATTTTTGTGATTGGACTATTGGACATGATATTACTACTGATAGATATAGATTATAGATAATTAGTCTAAGCCACTATTCTATTAATTGTAATATAAATATATATTATATACATATATATCTAATAAATAATATGAAAGGTGTGGCGATCTAGTGTAGTGGTTAGGTTGTCACCCTCACCAAGTGGCAGGTTAAAAGTTCGAAACCCACCGACAGCGAAAATTTGAATAATTACCTGTGTTACGGCAACCGTCTTCTGACGATCAGTTGGGATAGGATACCTGTAACTACGGTCGCACCAGCATGACTGGCAGGTCTGGGCATCCATGCAACCTTGGGTTACATGGAGGAATGCAAACCGGCAATAGGCAGTGCAAACACTCAATAAGTTCCTAGATTATGTAAATCCGTAGAACTGGGAGGACAGGAGCCCATTTGGGAAGACCCGAGTGAAGAGGTAGTACAAATCTTCGACAGTACTACTGTAAAGGCTAGACCCAGGAAAAGGAAAACCGAAGTGGAAGAACCGGACAGGGCACGATCGGTTTGTGGTAAAGCCGATTCACCAACCAGGCCGCCGGGTTAACCGGAGGAAAAGGTCATGGCAGAGCTGATGAACCAAGGACAGGTCATAGTCCTTCCGGGCCATTTGGATTGGTAGTCTAGAACTAAAGCAGAGGGAACTAAAGTACTGGGGATATGCTATGAAGTGGGTACCGGGGTTTGGGTGAACTTTGCAAGGGCATAGCCCTGTTGATAGAACCATAGAGTGGGTAGGTTGTTAACAGGGGGGCACCCTGAGCCTTGCTACTAGGTGACAGTACTCATTAAATTAGGTACGGCCTGGGTTCCTAGCACAGAAAAGGAAACCAAATGTCGAGTTAGACGGCACCTTGGTGTACGGGAGCTTATAGGGCTAATTGCGGAGTGGGTACAGAAGATCAGATGGTTTAAATAGGCAATCTCCTAACAGGTTGCAGGTATGGCAGCTAGTGTAGAACCTTCGGGGCAGACTACTTAAATAGGCAACCAAAAGTTGTACGTGTGGCTAGTTGTACGCTCATCAATGTACCAAAAAATATTGTATAAACATATAAAAACACAATAAAGCATTAGCATCCATGACATCGGTTTAAAAATTAAAAAAAAAAAAAAAAAAAATTTATTGCCAAAAAACAGCAGAGGCAAATGTTAGTGGAATTGAGTTGTTTAGCGAAACCTTTTTTACATGGTGAAAGACGAAACGAAACGAAACCCGCTTGGGCTTCTAAAAAAGTAAAGAAAAGAAAAATTTGTAGAATTTTGCCGTATATAGCACCAGAGGTTTTAGTGGGTCAACCATATTGTCAAGCATTAGATATTTACAATCTTGGAGTTATAGCGACTATGATTTCTACTGGACAAAGAGCATTTGATAGAATTCGTTTAATAGTGATCTTGTATTATATTAAATTAACTATGAAGTACATAGATAAAGATTTTAACAAATGATCTACTGCAACTGAAATTATTAAAATAATCATTTGCTGGTTAGATGAATAGGTTGAAATAACCTTGCCAAAAATCATAATGCTCAAATAATACAAATAATGAATTAATGTAAGTATCAATCTGTTTTTGCTGTTTTTGTTTAGCTTATTTTTTTATTCACATTGTCTTCAATGAGTTTTAACGTTTATCTATATCTTCGTCTTTTATTAGTTTTGTCGCCCTTTGCAGCTTCATTAGTTTCATCACCTTTCACCATTTTGTTATCTTTCGTCGGTTGTCGCCTTTCATCAGCTTCGTTATTTAAATTTTTTTTGCTTTGTTTATTTTTTTTATTCGCATTGTCTTTAATGAGTTTTAACGTTTATCTATATATTCATCTTTTATTAGTTTTATCACCTTTTGCAACTTCATTAGTTTCATCACCTTTCGCTGTTTCATCATTTTTCGCCAGTTTGTCGCCTTTCGACAGTTTTGTTATTTAAAATTTTTTGTTTGGTTTATTTTTTTTATTCACATTATCTTCAATGAGTTTTAACGTTTATCTATATCTTCGTCTTTTATTAGTTTTGTCACCCTTTGCAGCTTCGTCAGTTTCATCACCTTTCACTAGTTTGTCATTTTTTGCCATTTTGTTAGCTTCGTTATTTAAATTTTTTTGGTTGGTTTATTTTTTTTATTTGCATTGTCTTTAATGAGTTTCACCATTTATCTATATCTTCATCTTTTATTAGGTTTGTCACCCTTTGCAGCTTTGTCAGTTTCATCACCTTTTGCCGTTTCGTCATCTTTCACCAGTTTGTCGCCTTTTGTTAGCTTCATGTTTCATTATTTAAAATTTTTTGTTTGGTTATTTTTTATTCGCATTGTCTTTAATTGGTTTTAATGTTTATCTATATCTTTGTCTTTTATTAGTTTTGTTATCTTTTGTAGCTTTGTTAGTTTCATTACCTTTCACCGTTTTGTCATCTTTCGCCATTTTGTCACCTTTCGTCAGCTTCGTGTTTTGTTATTTAAAATTCTAATAGGCAAAACTAGGTTTCGCACTTCGTTGAATAGTATCACTATATTATATGAGTGATGCCAAGTGAAAATGAGACATTGGTTTATTATTAATTATTTATTTAAATAATCAATAATAAACCAATATTCTGTTTTTCCTTGGTATCACCTATATAATATTAATAGAATTTGGGGTTGAATTAGTAAAAAATTGTAAATACTCTATTTAGTTTATAAATATGTAATGCAAGTATACATACCTTCGGGTACATGTATTAGCTCTAAATAATAAAAAAAATTTTTTTTTAAGTTGTTGCCCTGGTAATTTAAAGTTAGAACGTAACGTTTTATTGACAAAAAAATTAATATAAAAGCCATTTCTAGCTTTGAACTCTCATAGAATTGAATATTTACATAAATACTTTCAAATTTTTTTTAGCCAGTTATATGAAGGTCTTCTTATGGGTCCGTAATGTGAGGTTGGGCTTTGGGTTACATAGGCCAGTCCGATTAGGCAGCAGTCTGAAAACGTGTCACGTAACCTTCGCTTATTTTAATTGGCTAATAGGCCAGAGATATATAAGTTATATATCTCTGGCCAGAGATATTTAAAAAAACCCTTATTATTATAGAAAAAGTGTATATAAAGTAGCACATATAGAATATTAACTATATATTATTCATCATATTAATTTGAGATACCAATATAAAACTATTTTGAAAAATCTAATTTTTATAGTAATGCCTGTATTAATCATTTAGTTTGTAATTATAAAGATTATCTATTAATCATTAAAAGTTAGCAAAATAGACTTACTAAAGCAAAAATATAAATATCTATTTACCAGATCATGAATATAAAATTATTAACCAATAGAATTAACAAATTAAGAACATAACTACTCACATACTATTATATAATACCTTTAAAAACTAACTTATATAAAAAATATATGAATTTAAAATTAGTAAATTAGTTAAACTCATATATATAAATACCTTTTCTTAAATATCTTTACAAGTCTTTCTTATGCTCTAAAGTGTGTACTGTATATATAAATTGCTTTTGTTGTATAAATATACAATAATAGATATGTGTTATTATAGACAGAAAATACAACAACTATGATTTTGATTTTTATTATAGTTATATCAAAAATATAACTTTAGTCATCAAACATTGTAAAAATATAAGTTTGTCACTTTACTCCAGACAATAAAAGTATCTATTCTAAATTTTTTTTTTTTGTTAAGTATCTAGAAACTAGAGTTTATTGATATTTTAGATATAACAAGCACAAGACCTATGTAAATTGTATTTATAGTAAAAAATTTAATCTAACTGATCTATACCCAACTTATTATATAATCTTAATACCTTTATATCTAGCACTGCTATCTACTTTATCTATTGTTGATAAACTTTTAGCCCAAACCTTCTGTCTTACCTAAGATAGACATAGACTATATATATCCGCCCAACCATTCTGTATTCTACATACTCCAAATTAGATATTAGAAATATTATACCTTTAATTGATGATTTGCCACTCAACAGATACATGATTATAGTATAATATGATACAAATTACTATATAAATCCAATATAGGATAAATGTGAAAATTTTCTAACATTCATTCAAGGAAAACTTTTTTCATACTAAGTTAATTGACAAAGTTAATTAATTAAAAGTTGTCAAGCTCATATTTGGGTTCTAATAGTGATTAAATTATCCACCAAATCAGCCCAGTAGATGTCAAAATATCTTTAAAAAATGCATCAACAACTATATAAAATTACTATGTAAACAATATTGTTTATATAGAGATTTTATATAATTATTACCATATTTTTAAAAATATCTCGGCATCCACTAGGCCGATTTGGATAATTAACCACTATTATAATCACAAAAATAAGTTCTACAACTTTCAATTAATTGACTTTGTTAATTAACTTAGTACAAAAAAATGTTTTCTTTGAATGAATACCATATTTACTTTATAATAAATTTATATAGTGATC